TCAGCCCACCTCACAAATGTGTCAAAGTCCCTCTGGATGGCATTCCTTCCCTCCAGGGTATCAACTGAACCACACAGCTTGGTGTCATCGGCAAACTTGCTGAGGGCGCACTCAATCCCACTGTCCATGTCACCAACAAAGATGTTGAACAAGACCGGTCCCAACACTGACCTATGGGGGACACCACTCGTTACTGGTCTCCAACTGGACACTGAGCCATTGACCACAACTCTTTGCATGCGGCCATCCAGCCAATTATATGTACTTTAAACAAAAGTTGTTTCAACAATCCTTTTTTTTATTCTACAAGAACCTAGGATGACAAAGTTGTACTTCTGAAAGTGCTGCAGCTGTTTGCTGTCTGAGTGGGCTGTAAAATACAAAATGCAGCACAAGCATTAATGTGCTGTTAAGAGTTTCTCAAGAATATTAGTGTTTTTCTATACATTTGCTCTAGACAAAGTCCCAAAGACAGATATAAACCATTATTTTTTCAAATGGTGCAAAGGCACTGAAGAAAATTATGTCTAAAATGTCCAAATGAAGGGCAGGGGTAAAGAGCCATCTTAAAAATTTGAGCATGTAACTCATGCACATGGCAGAAACAGACTTATGTATGATAGAACTTTAATGATAGCTCACCATATATAGCTTCACAAAGTATAGCTAAGATTTGAGTATTTATTTCTATACATAGTAATGTAACATGCATCACCAAATTGCACTCTTTAATAAAGAGTGTTAGCATTGCTGGGTTTTGCATAGTCCCTGAATTAATCTGTTTCTGCATTTGACATTCTCAATTGTTTCAAGTTTCATAATGATTCCTCTTGCTTTACATTGCAGTGTTTACTACTAAAGAATAGAAAGTTAGGCAGTAAACTTTAAGCACAGGTGCAAACCCACTGGAACTAGTATTTTGTTAACTGGTAACTCAAGCAGTCAAAATTAAGTCTATTAACACATGAATTTCTAGCTTGATAATCAATAAAATATCCTTTCTTTTTTCCTTCCAGGGCATAGAAACTGTTGGTAAAGGTCTTGTTGAAAGAGTTCTAGGTGGGTCATTCTTAGAATATGTGCATGTGAATCATCCAAACAGCACATAAGGACTATTGCAGAAGAGTGGAAGAACATGTTCTGTAGATAAATATGGTTATTAAAATTTAACCTTTTGCAATTAATGGATGAATGCATGAATTAATTAATTAAGGCATGAATCTATTTTTTTTTCTCAAGTGCTGCTTTGTTTTTAAATTATTTTAAATTAAATTTCAGTTTAAATTAAAATTGGGGGTGGGTATAAGATAAGGGTTGGTAAGTGAAAGCTGCCTTGAAAGAATAGCAAGAAGGGAATATTAGGTTTATAATAAAAAATAGAAAACATTTCAAGAGAGTGACAGTGTCTTTAAACTAACCTGTATAACATAGTATTCTTACTATGTAAGTTAAATAATGTATATACGGTTTTTACATGTACACTATAACACAATAACTTCCAAAGATGATCTGTTTATTCACACATAGAAGCATGTACAGTGATTAAAGTAGCTTTAATCACATGGTAACGTGTAAAAAAGGAAACTCCCAATAGGCTTTTAGGTCTTCACTTCCACTTTCTTGGAATCAGGAAGTGGCTCCTTCTTGGGAAGGGAAAGATTCAATGTTTCATCTGTGTGGGAAAGTTGCTTTCCTTTCTTTTTGAGAACTGTCCTTGGGAATGAAAACTCCCCTGTCAGAAAGATGGGCAGTGAATGCTCCAAAGGGTGGAATTTGTAATAATATTTCAGTAACCAAAAAAAAAAGTAATCTGGTCTGCCAGCGAAAAGTAGCCTGCATGTCTAAAAAATGTATCGAGAACCTTTTATATATCTGAAATAAGATAACCCCACAGTAGCGTTGTCCTTAGTTTTGTCTATGACCGCAAGTGTTCTTTGTCAGTAGAGATACACCTGGCAAGAGCAAAAGATGTCCTTCCCCTTGCACATGGCACCTTCTGATCCCCCTGCAGTAACACAGCTCTTTCCCTTTCCCCTTCTGCTCACATCATCCTTGATGGCTCCTGCAGAACAAATCCCAGCTCTTTTCATATTGGCAAGGAGATGTGCTTTTCTTGCAGCATTGTCGAGAAAGCAGTCAAAATAATAGTTGTACAAAAATAAGTTATAGAAAGTTACACAATAGCTGTGCAAAGGTGATCACTTTGCAGTTGTTCTCTGCAAGAAGCAAAATTTTATGAGCAGTTCTACAGTTTTTCACTCTTGAGATTTTATTTCACAAACACATTTTATCATGAGGAATAAAAAGTTGGCAGGGCCATTGCTTTAATTTAATCTAAAAAGTCTGATTTAAAATGCTTTCCTTCAAATAAATGTGTTCATAAACTTCAGCTGCCTGATTTCCCTTTACATGTTGTCTCTGTCAATGGTAAAAACTACATAAGATTTACAAGGCTTGTGCCAGGCTGTATATTGCTGGGTGGCATACTAGTTGTCAACTCCAAGGTCACAGCTTTATTAAAGGATCAAGATTTACAATAACGTTAGCAAAAGCATGAATGTCTTCCCACACACCTTTCTGTAGCTTACTTCTCTGAGGTCATCTGTGCAATTTCTCCCCCTGTCAAAAGCTACTAATCGATAAAACACTGCCGTCTCCCGAACAAAGTTCAAATAGACCTGTCATGTTGCTTTAGCAATAAATCTTTGCTTTTGTTTAACACCTGCCTTCAAAGGGCATAACCCTCTTTACCTGCAGTAATTAATTTCACAGCAACCTTATTTGGCGATTAAAAACTGCTCCCCTTTAACAGATTGAGAAATTGAGACATAAGGACACATTTGGTGAAGGCCATGCTGCCTCTCTACCAGTGAGTAACACAAGGTAGTTGTGTAGCATCTGAACTGAGGTTTCTGTAATTCTTTCTTTTAATGCAATGCCACGACATGCATAGGGCACACCTGAAGCTTAAAGCTGGTTATACAGCTGTGATATAGTCCTAACGGACACAAGAACACACCAGAAGCATTTTGCATGCTATTTCCTACTTAAGGTGTAGTTCTGTGCTTTCTTTTGCCTTGCACTTGCACTGTTGAAGAGGTTACTGGCAACTTCCATTTATTACTCATTGTGCCTCTCCAGATATACCAGCCTGGCTCCCTACTTCATTTCCGGGAAGAAGATAATCAGTCAATCACTTGAAATAGTAAGGGTTTTGCCAGCCCGTGAACAGCTAAGCTAACCTTACCTTAGCAGCCTTTAACAGAGCAGTGATAAGCACAGGGGAGCAGTAACCTCCTGAGCTAGGACAACCGCAGTTACAAGAGGAAGTCTTACCACAACACCTCAAATCCCAGCCCCACCTTCTCCTGCCCAAGATGTTCTACCACTTCCACCAGATTTTCTCCAAAACCTGAAGTAAATATCTCAGCCCAGGTGATTTAATTCTTCCATTTGGCCCATTGCTTTGGATATGCTTCCCTTCAGTGTCTCAGATCTCCTGGTGCTTAGAGGCATCCAAATTTTGCCTCCATGTGGTGTAAAGTGAAAGTATTTAGGACAGTCATTGGCTTTGCTGAGCTGTTTCTGCTTTTGGTTAGGAGGATACTAGCATTTTTTAGTAATGGTAATTGCAATAGGCCCCAAGTAAGAAAACTGAGCCAGGGTCCTTCATGGAATCACAGGATAGTTTGCCCCTCATCCTCACCTGAGGAGAGACCTGAAGCTGAGCTTTGGCTTTGTTTCCTGCAGTTCTCTCCCTCCCTTCCAAACCTCTAGCCCAGAAAGTGGTAGGCACATTACCTTTTGCTGTCTATCCCTGGCAGATACAAAAAGCGGCTGTGATGGACATTTGAAGCCTAAATTGTTTTGAAATGTGGGAGATTGAAGGTGTATGCGAACCACAGGTCTTAGTGTTTTGCATTCTGTCTCCCCCAAAAGTCTAACTACGCTAGAGAGAGCAGGATCTCCCCAGCTAGCTGTGGTATAGATGGCTGCTGTCCTAAGGACCGAAGGGAAACAAAGGTGAAAGACCCAGTTTTTCTCAGCCTTTGTCCCTTGTCTTTGATACAGGGTGAGAGCCCAGGCCCCACCTGAACCTTAATCATGGATACAATCTCCACAAATTAATATAAGTGACATAATCTCTACAAATCCATTTCGTTTTAAAGCTTCCCCAACATTTTGTTTGTTGTTAATCCTCCATGAGTTAAGTTCAAATGAGATCTAGATATGCTTAACAGGTCCAAAGTCTTCACTACCTGGAGAAATTTGCTGGTATTGCTGTATCACCACCACGATATTATTATAATCCCTTATTCTGGAAGAACAGTGCAGAGACTAAGATTTCATCAGCACCATTCAGGAGGCAGAAAGCCTGGCCCGAATATTACTATTAACCACTAAAACTACCTCATAAAAGCACCGCTAGCATCAGCTGGTCTATAAACAAACAAAAACCAGAGCACTGTTGCTTTATTTGTGTAGAAGGTGATCGTAATTTCCTCTCATGTCGAGCTAGGATCGCGGGCTGGAGCCCCACTCCCAGATATCCGGCGCCAACCCGCCGTCCTGCCGGGCACACGCTGAGGGATGAGCCCGCCTCCCACCCCAGAGGGCCTCCCGGTGCCGGCGCCTGGGCCTCAGGCGCCTGGGGGCCCAGGATGGGCGGAGGGAGCGGTAGGCGGAGCGGGGAAGCCTCCCGGGCAGGGCGGAGCGGAGGCCGGCCCGCCGCGTCGTAGCAGCGCCGGCGGGCCGGGAGGCAATCGCCATGGAAACGCAGGCCCCGGTCCCGCCCCTGTCTCTGCCTCCCCGCGGGAGAGCGGCGGCGAGTGCCGCCGGGAGCCCGGCCGGAGCCGTGGCCGTGGCCGTGGCCGTGGCCGTGGCCGGGGCCGGGGCGCTGTGGGCGGTACCTGCCGCTGGGGTTCCCTCCCCGAGCACTGCCAGGTAGAGCGCGGCTGGGGGCGCTTCCCGGGCCGGGAGGGGGGGGAGGAGGAGGAGGAGGAGGAGGAGGGAAGGGCGGGGCGTGCAGCGCGCAGGCCGAGCCCGCTGCCCCCAGCCGCCGCAGCCCGGCCGCCCACCTGGTGCCAGGTGCCCACCCGCCATCTTCTCCCGGACCCCCAGCGTCCTCCGCCCGCGGCTGCCCGGCGCCGCAGAAGCGTAACGGAGCGGGGCTCAGCTCACCAGGGTGGGGCTTGCTCCTAGTCGCCGATCCGCACGGAAAGGCCCTGACGTGTTGCCATGGCCGAGGGAGCCACAGCGGCGGAGGCGTGCTTCAGTGAGGATGATTTTTACTGTCCCGTCTGCCAGGAGGTGTTCAAAACGCCCGTGAGGACCGCGAACTGCCAGCACGTGTGGGTATTCCTCCCTGCCCCCCCCGTACCCCCTTCGCCTCTTTCACAAGCCTGTTCCTCCCCTCCTCCCGTTCTTTGCCTTTTAATCCTTAGCCATCCCCTCTCAGCACACCGGCCCCCGGCCTGCACCCGAAGCCAGCCGCCCAGGGGCCCGGAACGGCTACTCCAGGAGGGAGCCGGATTTGAGGCTTGCGTGCCAAGGGCTGCCCCAGCTTTCCCATGCCTCTTTCTTTTGTAGCGATGAGGGCCGGCTGGTTAGAAAAGCCACCTCCAGAAGCAAGCCCTCGGCTGGCTGGTCTATGGAAACATCTCACGCATCTAACCTAACCTAACTCGCGGTTTTAACTTTATAGTTTCCTGCTCGTTTTCCAGCAAGGACCATAGCGTAGTTGTTCTTTCTTTTCAGTTCATCTATTCTGATTTTTTCAGAGCAACATTTAATTACAAAATACTGCTTTGTAGCAAAGCAAAATAGCTTTGGCAGCTGGTACGCCAGGAAACAAAGTGAGAGAACCACAGAAGGCTGGTGAGCTGAGATCTTTCATGCTAAATGCAGCATGTTTGGCTCCGCTTAAGGATGATAAACAGGGCTTACTTTGATAAGGCTTTCCAATATCATGTGCCTGCTGCACCATTTAATATCTCATTAATGATCAATCCAGTATACAGCTCAGGAATACTAGTCAGTAAATAGTAAGATCTTTACATAAAGTGCATTGCCAAGTTCCCCTTATTTCCGTATGCTTTTTTGTAAGCACCATTATTTCATTTTGCTTTTATTTATAAAGATTTGTATACAGTAGACCATTATTCTGACATCTTTTTTCCACCTAATAATCAGCCAGCTTTCTTCAAGGACAAAGTATCTCACTCTTCACTTTGCTAACCTGTGTTTGTGGTAACTTTTTAATTCAGGTTTTGCAGGAAGTGCTTCTTGACAGCTATCAGAGAAAGTGGAACACATTGTCCTCTCTGCCGGGGGAGCGTGACTAAAAAAGAAAGAACATATCCCAAAAGGGCTCTAGATGTTGAAAACAGTATGAAGAAAGCTTCTGGGGGCTGTAGATGCTGTGAGAAGCAGGTAGAGTAAAACTTTACAAAAAGTTGGATAATTCTTTATTATTTTTGACCAGACACACTTTTACTGTGTGTTGTTCTTGTCTTGGAGCTAAAGACCCTATATAACAGTTTGAACTTAGCTTTTTATGGGTTGTGCCTGTACTAGGCATGCAGTGCCTGCTAGGTATGCCTAACAGGTGTAAACAGAAACAGGATCTTGTATTGTCTATAAGGACTTTTTAAGTGGAGTGCCAGTTTTTCTGCAAAGCAATGTGAAAACTTGATATAGCCATAAAACTGTCAAAAGAAAAGTCTGACAAGATAATTGCAGATATATGGAAAACCTCAGAAACTTTTGCTGTGGAAATAAAAGTGCCTATAACTACTGTAAAACTGAATTTAAACCAAAAATGTACAGGTTGATTACTCTTAGTGTACATAAAATCATACACCATTTTCCTTTGCCCCATCAATCTGTTTGCATCCTGTCATTCTCTTTGTAAAGGGGTCATTATTTTCAGAACATTGGGTGAAATCATGACCCCCACTGAAATCAAGAGTAATCTCTCTTCTGGTATAAACAGATGCAGGATTTCAGGCACACATTTTGCTTACATGAAATTGCATGACATCCAGGTAGTCTTCATGTTTGTTTCATTTCACTTGGGTCTTAGTTCTGCCGATGTGAAGATTAGTACTAGTGGAAAGCTGAGCTGCTTGCTTTGTTCCACATGATTCATTAGGATGAAAAGCTGGGAGAAAGAAATGATAGGAAGTTGCTGAGCTGGAAGGAAGAACCAAATGGATCCCTAGAAGAACTTAGTGGAATTTAGGCACAGGATATGATCTGAGATGTGATCTTATTCAGCCTCTAAACCTGTGAACACTTTCTGACAGTGCTGTTGTACCTGAAACTCTGATTTAGGGCATGTCCAGCACATCTGTCTTCTGACAAATCTGAGCAACTTGTTATCTTGCCTCGCATTTAAGGTGGATATACAGCCTTAAATTGGTGCTCATTCACATATTGTATTTTTTATTTTTTTTTTAATCCCTTTTCAAAGAGAAACATTTTGTATTCTCAGAACACACCTAATGCAAAAAGCTTCTGCTCTGCACAAGGTAACAGCAGGCCAGAGAAGACTGAAGGAGCAGTGGTGCTTATCCCATCCTCATGGCCCCTCTCTGTCATAGCTCATCAATTTTTGATCCTGGATTGTGGAAGTTGTAGTTCCTGTGACTTTGTTTCATTTAAATGGAGTTTATTTGCATCTTTCACCCCTGAGAGCTCTCAGATGCCTGGCTTTTGGGGGTTTGGGAAGTGGGAATGTTCTCCAGTAATTTCAATAATTTGGAATTTCATTTACAGGTTAGATTTTCGTGGATGAGACAGCATTATAAAACGTGTAAGAAGTATCAGGATGAATATGGTGTTTCTTCTATTATTCCAAACTTACAGATTTCCCAAGATTCTACAGGGAACAGGTAATCGGGGTGTTTTATCTATGGCAATGCGTCTTCTTTCCCTGCTCCATCCCCTCCCCCCAGAGTATTTTTTTTTTCCAGGGTATGTCTTTTTTGCAATAATTATTATCCCTGGTTTTGTGCATCAAAAAATTACAGTTTTTCCAGGTCTTTTCCTTTACTCTCAGCACACAGAAGAAAACCTTTCTGCATGGTGGTTTGGAATGTCTTCCAGGGACTCTCCTAAAAAGTATTATTTGTAGGTCGCTTTCCTTGCCTTGGCAGCATTTGAGCAGCTTACTTTGTAACATACTTTGTAATATTTAGCCCCAGGGAAGTCCCCTTCTCTTTTTATCCCTCCTCCTCTTTCCTAAGTCTGTTTTAGTTGGTATCCTGTGTCAAAACTTTACTATGCAAGCTTTTGCTTTCTTATTGAATTTATTTTGAACTGATCTGTTAGGAAATATACAAAGAATTCCAGTATGGTACATACCATAAAATACAAATGACACATTTTGTTTTCAGGCAGTAAAGCTAAAGAACTTTCTTTTTCATACCTTCTCACTGATGTTTTTGTTTTGATTGGGGATTTTTTCTTATTTTTGAAAACCTTTTTTTTACATAGTAGTTTCATAGGGCTTTATTCTATATAGCCTGTCCTTTATTTATTTTCTTTTGATATCTGTTTCCTATTTTTAGCAGTCTGAACTTCTCTATGTTTGGTTTTCAACCCTTTAATATATTGAAAGTGGAAGTTTAAGCTGTTACCAGAACTAGCTTCAGCAGTATTTCACCGAAGTGACTGGATATTATATCACTATTTATTGACTATGCCACTGTAGCATACCTGTGCTTATAATATTACAGAAGTGTAAGAAAATGTACTGTGCCCAGATTTGTGACTGGAAATGTTAATGTTCTTGGAATGATCAATGTGTCTGTGCAGTTTCTTCTGGCTTAGCTAGAGGTGCATACATGGTCAAAATTACTTTCTAAATGTTTCAGTCTGTCACTCTTACTTTAGGAAATAGTTTATTTGTGCTCAGTGTAAAAAGATTGATCTTGCCGTAGTTGAAAGTTGTAAATTATTTGTGTAATCCCATGGCAGTTAAGTGCTTGTTTGCATAGTCTTAAATCAAAAAACTTAGAAAGTGCTTCCTGTCTTGCATTCACATCATTCATCATGCTTTTTGAGCTACCTGGCTGTAATCTCCATTACCATTTTTGTTGGCTAAATGTTTGTTGTACCATATACTGTTTTGCTATAAAGCTGTGTAGTATTCCAGCAAGGGTCACCCTGGTAACTGCATACTGAGGTTTACATTGATCCAAAGGAAAAGTTGGGAGAGTTAATTGTGTGCCATTGTATGTTTTGCCTTGAAATTCATGTGACTCAATGGATTTCTTCCACTTCCCCCATGTTACTCTTAAACTTCAAAAACTCTCAATGGTAGAGTAAAATAATATGAATTTTCTTTTTTTTTTTTTCTTCATTTAAAGTAGCAGGAGTGCTGTGGTATCTGATAATGGCGAGATGGCTAATAATCAAATGCTTCAAGGAGAAACAAGGTAGGCTGCTTATTTTTTTATAGTTAACATTAAAATAGATACAGATAGTCCTATTGCGAGCTTCTACTAATGTAAAAAATCCCACAAGCACATACAACTAGTTGTATTTAAAAATTTGTGTAGTTTCCTCTCCTTTTGCATCTATACATTAGAATTTGGTGGTTTTTTAGTACTTTCCTGGATGATTTGCACTAAAAGATGTTACCAGTAAGTAAGATCAGGATACAGCTGAAATCGTTGCAAAAGAGTTTTCTGAAATCCAAGCTTCAGAAGAGTGCATTTAGATGTACAAATGATAAATGTTCTTTAAAATTACAATTTGGAAGTAGCACTGGAACTCCATCAGATCTGCTACTATGTCAATGAGGGTGGGCTTTTTTTTGAAGTTTTTTTCAAAATAAGGGAAAATAACAAGGTAACAGAGAATTTACACTTTCTGTAACACTGCTTCTAAAATTTTCTTTTCTGTTTAATACTGTGTATTTCTGTTTACAGTGGACACCCAACCTTCAAATGCCCCTTGTGTCAGGAAGCCAATTTTACCAGACAGCGCTTGCTGGATCACTGTAATAATAGACATCTTTATCAGATAGTTCCTGTAGTAAGTATTGTTGCTTATGTATGATTCTTAAGCTACTTTCATTGTAATTATGTGCATAATTTTAAATGTATAGTAACTACTCTATATCTGTAAAGATCACTGTGGTCTGAGAAAGGCAATATACTTAATGCAGTGCATTTAACTTGATGGGTGACTTTCATGTGAAAATGTTTCTTGTCCAGATTCTTGTTGGTTTAAGGCATTTCTGACTTAGCTGTCTCATTTATCTAGATGTGAAACAAACTCAGTTTTTGAGCCTGACACTCTTCTTCATTTAGTAGTTCAGATCTGTTTCTGTAGATTCCCATTCATAACATAACTTGTTTTATGTGAAACCTGCGCTTATGTGAAAAGTAATCTAAAATAATCAATCAAGGGAACTGAAGAGGAAAAATCTGTTTGGTTTTCTGTTCTTTTAATCTGTATAGGGTGTGTTATTTTTTCTTTTGACTTGATCATCTCAATTGTATGAAAATTCTCTCAAACAATGAGTAGGATACAGTAATCACTTTGTGTTCTAAATTTTAACCAGCAGAAATTAACTAGAGTGCCAGACAGACATGCCAATGTTACACTCCTAAGAGAAATATGAGATTTGACAAGTTGAAATGTAATTTTTGAATGTTATCCAACTGAGGAAAAGAATACTTAAAACTGTGATTTTATGTGAAAATCTCCGCAGTATTTTGGTAGTGGATGAGTAATAGATTTTTCCTGTATTCCTAGTTATTTTCCTGTATTCCTAGTTATTCCTGTAGAACATGTCTTCGATGTGTTCTGTATTACCAATAATTTTTTTTATTTTTTTTTCATTCTTTCTCTTTCCCATTCCCCTCCAAATTCAGATCTGTCCTATTTGTGTATCTCTTCCTTGGGCAGATAGTAACCAGGTGACTAGAAATCTCGTTAGCCATCTAAATCTAAGACACCGGTTTGACTACGGAGAATTTGTGGTAAGTTTTTTCTTCTTTGATGTGTAGGGGAATAAATGGTAACTTTTTTCTATAAACAAAATGCCAATAAAAAATTTGTACCAAACTTGTTTGTGCTCTGGACATGCTATGTTCCTGCTTTGTACAGAACTCAGAAGTAGCCCTGTCTGCTCTTAAACATTGTGTTATCAACATGAACTGCCACTGAGAACAGATGTCTGTCAGTAGCTGAAGTCTGCTCCAAACTGATGACTGAAGTTAAGGATACCTTAATGTTCTCAATCTGAATTATTTGTTCCTCCAGAACAGTTAATTACGGTTGTTTCTGGGGAAAATAAAACAGATACTACTCTGTTTTATTGACATTTTTGACTTTTTATGGCAGAAATGGTTAAATCATAATGCTCAGGACTCAAAGTGCAGCTTGACTAGCTGATACTGCTGCTACAGCCTCTCTTCCAATATGTTGTGACAGGGGCTGCAGCGTGAAAAAGAGAGATGTCATTATTGTTCAGGTTGCCTTCTTTCAGGCTCACTGATTAAATGACCTTGAACTAGGTGCAGAACTACATACACAGGTGTAGTCAGTGAATGGATCATAAGTCAAGCGAACCAGTTGAGTACTGTGTGTAGGATCAGAGAGCTGGAGAATTTGTGTTGTATTTTCTACAATTTGGCAGGCTTTGGGGTACACTCCTTGAGCTTTGTATGGGACAAGCATAGTACTTGAGGAGCAGGCAGCCTCACTGGCTAGAGGTGGGCAAAATGATGCATATTGCTCTTTGTATAGAGTGATCTGTGACAAAGGCATGAAGAGCTAGGAGATTGGTGCAGCGGATTGGGCTCTTCAACATGAGAGCATCTTCCATGTTTGAGGATGTAAAACTGGTGGCGGCAATTCTGATGTGGGGCAGCTGCCAGAACGGCATTAAAATATGTATTACTCTGGCTTATTAACAACTTGGAAGACAGCTCTTCAAAAGTAGCAGGGTTAACCACCCATCTTTTATGATGCATGTTTGCTTTCTCATTGTAAGCAGTATATTCTCAATGATCAATGATTACTGTTGTCTAGGGATCACATTTTGTTTTTATTAATGGAGGATGTTATGGCTGGTTGGAAGCCCTGTTACAAGAATAGTGTGACACAGTCAGTCAGCTTTTCTGAGCTGGCTGTTCTGTAATGTAATTCAGCCAGGGAGAGAAGATGGACCCTTCTGCTTAATGAGCCTTGTCCCACTCATCTGATTCTTCTCTTGTCTCATGTATCTCTTGGTTAAATAAAAGATACTGTGCAACATAAACAATCATCTAGTACATGTAAAGATGAAGAGTCTTCATCTAAGTGCCAATTCCTATGTAAAAATGTGGGAAATGAATGATTAAGGACTATGGTACTTCTTGAGTATTTGTCCATTTTGATGATGTTTTCATTTTGTTTAGAATCTTCAGCTTGATGAAGAAGCCCAATACCAAAATGCAGTTCAAGAATCCTGTCATGTGAACTTTTAAAGTATAGCTCCCTTTCATCTCACTGATTATCTGAGAGAAAAATCACATTATTTCTATTGGTGACCTGAAGTGTATATTAATAAAAATGGTATTCAGTAACCACTTTTCAGGCTTAACTTTTTCCCAATGTTCATAAGGACTTTTCATAAATGATTTAGCTGGAACTCAGATTTGATACCTGTACTGAGTTGTGCCCTTGTGGAGTTTTGGGGACCTTTTTAGAACTTCACATGGTTGTCTTTTTCTCTAATGTTTACTACTCTGTTAATTACACAGTTCCTTTTATTAATGTAAGATATTTTAATTCACCAAAACCAACTTTGAAAGTATCTTTAGAAAGATACACCAAGATGCTCTGTTGCACTGTTGAGTTTAAGTTCAGGACTCATCTGCTATCTATGAGATGATAATTTTTTTTTCTGTTCTTGCCCAATGACAAAGTTTTTTTGGATATTGTGATTTGTTTTTTTACCATCACTATGTGAATGAAAATAATAAGAAATAATTTTTTTGTTTGTTTTCTATGGATCAACAATGCAGAGCAGCGTTGGTTTTGGTTTTGTATTTTTTTTTTTTTTGTTTCCACCTTTCATTGAGAAAGAATAATGCTATTGCATAGGAGTAATCACATCTATTTTTAACTCTTTCTGGAGCATAACTGAAATAGAATGCTTGCTTACTAAATTGGTGGGTGAGGAGTTTTCCCTATGCTTCCAACTACTAAGGAAGATGATATACTTTCTAAGCAAGTTAAGGTGACATGCAAAAGGTATGCATTTTCGTATATGACTGCGACCAGCTAGTTTTTCAATTTGCTGTAGCTTTTCAAGAACTTCTGTTGTTGCATTTGAAATTCAAGTTTTGTACTCAAGTACAATTCAAGTACTCGAGAACTAATTGTCATCAGACCTACCAACACTGAAATTAACTTGTTTGTTTTGATAGACTGTTTAAAATTTGGGTGTCTCCTACAAACCAAAGGCTTGAAAAAGAGTTGAGAAGAAAACTTGCTCTAAAGTAGTTACCAGCATTTCTAAGAGTTCCTATTCTAGATTTTCACATTCCCAGCAAAACCATCATTACATTCAGAGAAAACAGAGCAATAATGCAATTTTTAATTTAAATGGAAAATGTATTTGTAAAAGAACTTCAAAGTTTTTTTTATTTAATACTAATGGGGAGAAGGAGAAAGAAAGGTGCACAGCTTGTATTTTTGAGGTTTAAAGACACTGTTCTGAATGTTTACCATTCAGGACCAACATTTCATCCTATGTCACCATTGCCCATTGTCAAAGTATTTTTCTTAGTGGGTATTGTATATATGGTGGAAAACATCCCCAGTGATTTTCCTGTTTTAGTTGGTGATTTATGTATAATACTGTAAGTTGTGCAGCTGAAGTAAAATCTGCTTCTTGTGCCCTGGCTCCCATTTGCTCTCCAAATAGATTTTGGTTACTCTTTAAATACTGGGAGATTTCATATTCCAAAGGTTGAAATGCCTCATTTGGCAATGTAACGGGTTTCAGAACTGATTCTTAGTTCTAGTATGTTGAGTGTTGGAACTAAACCACTATACACTGTAACTTGACATTTCTCTTGCATTTCTTAAGAGTGTAAAACATTACTGGAGCCATAGCTAGCTAAAACACAGAGGAAGGTGGCTATTTCAGAAACATCTGAAGGTTATATTCTTTTAATAACAACTTAACTTGTCTTGCATTCTGTTACTGGCTTAATACAGTATTTTCACAGCAGCCCATGCTTTAATCTTGTACTCCAGCTTGCCTGTTTGCCCTTGTCATGGTTTAACCCCATGCTCTTGTCTGCACATTCTCACTCGTCTGTCAGCTCTAGTGCTTGTGTGACCACGTACTGATTTGGAGTGGTTCACTGATCCAGCTGAAAAAGTTGTTTAGATTTTGACTTTCTCTTTTTGTCCTATAAAGCCAACTATGAAATAGTGCCCTTAGACAGAAAGGAGTTTCAAGGTAGCCTGATGCTAAAGTTTTAGCTTTTTAAAGTAAAAATGCATACCGTGGTGATTTTATTACTGCATATATTTCCTAAGGAATTTAATAGTTATATGTAAGTTTAGTTAAATTTTTTAGATTCAATAAAATATATGATCTGGCAATAAATGCCTACAGCCAATACAGATTCAGAATGCCTCATGGACACTGGAACTAGTTATTTCTATTACTTGAACATATCTTGAGAATTGCAAATGGAATTACATCTCTTCTAAAACTCTGGGAAACAAATTTTTCTTATAGCAATAATTAGTTGTCACTTGATGCGTAGCTGCTGAACATTTTAGTCACGTTTAAATGTTGAAAGACTTGAATACACATTTTAAAGCAACAAATGTGTATTAATGCAATATAAAAAAAGAACTTGCAAAATATTTATTCTCTTTATTTGCATTATGTTAAAATCTGTATTGGCAGGCACTGCCTTGCTTAAGATTTTATACTTTTAATATGAAGAGATTGCATCCAATACATTCGCTAGGTAAGTGTTTAATGAAAATATCTATTTAAATAATGCTGCTGCTGGTCATAATCTTTCTCACTGAAAATCAGACATGCACAAAAAGCTGTGTATCTGTGATGGGTGATGCTTGTACTCAAAACTTGCGATCTTTACTGGAAGGTTGCTGTTTAACAATGTTTTTATGTTCATGTTGCATTGTGTATGGTTTCAATATGGAATATTATGTTTGAATTGTACCTTCTATTTTTTCTCTTATTAAAGTATTTTATTTTCCTTTTTTTTTTCTTTTTTTCTTTTTTTTGTTGCATAATAAAGCTGATCAGTCCTCTTGATGCTGCTACTTCCTTTTCAGATGCTTTCTAAACCTAAGTACGTGGTCAGTTTTATGCCTTCACGCTTTGATGACTGGAGTGGCATGTATGCTGCTGAAATCAATGAGTTGTGGCTCATGATCCATTACTGAGCTGACAGGTTACCTTGTGTCACATCTTAAGATCTTTCCATGAAGCAGAAAAGATGATTGGTTGACACAAACTTGCTTTGTGCTTGTTTTCTCCCTTCCATGTTCGTGTGTTGCTGTCACACGTAATGTGAATAGAGACCATCTAAAAAGAGAGAGAAAGAAGTATGTAACACTTGGGGCCAATAGCAAGCCTTGTTATTTAAAGTTGGATCTACTGAGGAAATGGTTTTCTGAGGAAAAAATTGTCCAATTTGCATTGGACCATATTTTTTGGCTGAAAAAAGTCTGGTTATTTCTTGTGCTTTTAGATCCTAAGGTCATACAGATGACAATATGGTTATGGAATTGATTCTCTTATTTTGAATGATAGAAATATAAAAAAAGCAAATTTACATTTTATTAGTTTATTGTTCTTTCCCCTTAGAACCTGGTTTTCTGAGCATTAAATAAATCACTGTCTCCTAAATCTGGTCATTAACCCCTTTGTTAGAAATTCCATTTGATTTTCTTTTACTATAGCAATGCCTTCTCTTGGAGAGAAGGCACTCAGTGTCTGTAATTCTCATTGGCAGTATGTTAGGCTATGTGAGCTCTAGAGAACTCCCCTTTGTCCTGCTCTAGTCCTAAGCCATGGTTTCATACCCAGGGAGAGGAGGGGACTTTGTGCACCCAGGCCATCTTCTCACAGGTAGTCAGGGCTAGAAGGCTGTATTTGGGAAGCATTCCTGGGTCCCTCTTTTTAGATGTGTCTTTTGAGTCCAGTGAGATTTGAATGCATGGATGCCTGTGAGGTTGCTGCTGTAAAAGAGTGGGGATGGTGTGTATGAGCTAATGTATTTTTTATACTCCTTGTTTTGTGCTGAAACAGACACACTCATTCATGAATGCTCTTAAGATGTTCACTTAACTATGTCTTGTAAACACTGTGCCATTTGTGTAATGACTGCAGAACCTGGCAGCCAGGTTATTGCTGGCAAGCAGAGCTACAAGAATATCTGACAAAAGCATCTTCAGGGTTTTTTTAGAATTACAGAAACCAGCATCGAAGGGCCACAAACAGTACATGGTTTGTTCTCTGTACAGCGTCCATGTAAATTTGCTCTAGGTATCAGGTTTCTTTTGTGTCCTGTTGTGGGTATTTTTGAAAACACATAGGAGACAAAATTCAGGGCCTCTAAGAAGGCTTTTCAATAATGTTACAATTGTCACTTCCCGGTAAATTACCAATTACCAGACTCTTGATCTTGATAGGGTAAAGCATAGACTGTTCCCTCCTCCCCCCCCATGAGTAAAGTAGTTCTGCTCTGGGAAGGGCCACTTTTCACCTCTTCATTTTCCAGCTGTTCCCAGCCTTATTCTAACTGTAACACGTTCCGTATTGTTTATACGCACCTCTGGCTGTGCCCTCTATATTTTGGGACTGATGTAGGCCTTGGGTAAATGCAGAAACTAAGAAATTTAGCATTAATAATTTCTAGAGTTCACCTGCCACGCTTACTTATATGGCTGGAGGAGTTCATATTTCTCAGAATGTGTTTGCAGTTTGAAACACTCTTACCAGTCAGATTTTGACTTTCAATGCTTTTTAAAGTATTTGCTTGGTTGTTTTCTTTCAGGGGAGGGTCTGGTTTTGGATTAGGGAGATTAGGATGATGTTTAAAATCAGAAACATCTCATGCAAACCAGTTCTTTATGGTAATAGGCACTTGTTTTTTGGAAAGCCTTGCATGAGGTTCTCTGGTTTTGCAGGTATGGGCAGAAGACAGTAGGAAGATGGTGGCTTTTTTCTCTAGTGTAACTGCTGTGGCGCTAGTGTCATAGAAGGTTTATGAGATGTATCAGCTCCGTTGTGAGACTGTTCAAACTTCAGTAGTTTCTTTTATGGATTTTTCTTCTTTCATAATTCAAACCACAAGAGGGCACTGAGTATTTTTGGGTTGTCTAAATAAGGATAGCATTTAAGGATACTAATTCACTAAGTAGTAGTACTCCGAGACACTTTTAGATATCAGATTTCTATGCAGATGTTTCATAAAATGAAATAAATCATTTATATGTGTTAAGGGTTAAGAGACTGACTGAGGTCATTCCAATCTACAGAAAGAATATTTCTAACTTACTGTAAAACCTCAAACTTACAGATTTGCTTGTATCATCTGTGGGAAATAAGCTGTATTCCCCCAACACTCCACTCTGGGGACAGCTGAGTGGCCCCCAGTTCACGAGTGAAGGTGAAATGTAGCATGTGCATGCAAACCCCGTTCACTCGCAAGAACTTTCCTTCCCCAAACGCGTTCTTTACAGAGGTCGTCTTTAACCTGAAGCGTTGCAAGTGCGCACAGGAGTCACAGGGGGGCACCTGAGGACTGCTGCAGTCTGATAGCGATGGGGTCATTGCTGGGGTTTTGACTTCTCGTTTTCTGAAACTGTGACATATCGACGACCTCGCAGATTCCATCTGCTGAGGTGATGGGGTCCAGCAGGTGCCAAGTACAACCACACTTCGTTACCCCTTCATATTACTTAGGTCTTCTAAGTTGTTCTCTGGCAGTATATGCAGTAGTTTGGGGTTGACAGAGGCCTCTGGAATGAAAACAGAAATTCTCCCAGCTTAGGCTCATGCTTCATTGTCTAGGAGAGAACTAAGTACCCCTGGGGTATGCTTCTATAGGGGCACGATACCCAGCGGCCAGCTACAGTTACTTTAGCAGCTGCAAATCAGTTTGTTTCACACTGTAATCTGATTCATATTTACCATGAAATAAGTTTGTGTAAAAACATGTCAAACATGATTCAGACTCCTGTGAAAGGGGAGAGGTGAAATCCTCTATGAGTAATTACTTAATATATGAAAGATGGTTTTCTCACACAAACTATAAGATAATGGTTCAAGTACATGTCTGAAGTGGCAGTGGGGAGGAAGGGATGCAATGTTATACACCCAAGCTTCTGTGGTTTGCTTTTTAACTTTGCTTTTTAATTTACCTGCAGTTAAGCGGTGCAAGGAAACTGAAGGTTTGCTTCATTTTCGGGACAACTCTTAATCAAAGCATTTGCTCCTCTGCAAGAAGATAGAATAGTTGTATTTGATATTTTCTGTGATTTTTTTACATTCTTGCATTATATCCCATATGACACCCACTAGGCTTGTAAACATTGGAGTTTTGTTCCTTGAAATACTTAGGTGTTCAACTTGAAACATTTTGGTTTTGATTGGGGATCTTTTATCTTGCACGTTTATTTGACAACCCTTATCTTCATTGGTGCTTTTGCCTCATCAGCCAAGGAGTTACTGTTGCAGTGTTATCCCCATTTGGGGAATTTAACTGCAGAAAAAGTGAAAACTAATTTGTGCAAGATAATGCAGGAAGCTTGAAGCAGGGCAAGCAACAGTCCACTCTCTGAGAATAATAGACCATTTGAATATCCTCCTACTCTTTAACATTTGGTCTCTAAGTACTGCTAAGTGGGGTATGTAATGCTCCACAAGCCAGCACTTTTCAAGATAATTTAATGAATTCATACCACTTGAAATTGACATTGAAACTTATGATCAGTCAGGTTCCACCCAAATGTCAACAAACATCCATGAATTGTTTGCTGAGGAGTACACTGATAGCAAAATTATCAAAGCATCTGTGCTGAAATAGAGAAGATCAATGACACTATTCAGATATGAATAGTGTCAAATATTCAAATACCTACTCAAAATGCTAGAAAATCACTGGCTGTATTGAGCTATTTTTAACTGTTTTTATGTCTCTCTGTAGTTAGCTGGTATTGTACTCTGAAATTAAGTTCCTTTGGCTTTTAAAAAGAGCATTTTTGCCATCATGTACTTTACTGATTTTTTACAATCTCTCTGCCCCTATTACTGTCTCTTCTCAGTAGCAATCTTCCCTTCCCAGCAATCTTCTGCAGACGTAGCTTTACAAAGAAGACTAAAGCAAGTGTTTTTTCCCTCTGTATTGGACAAAGCCTGATGGATGTGCCTTCTGCAGGGGGATAAGCACCACAGTATTATTATTATTATCTGTGCTGAAGTAGTGACCACCAGCAACATTGCTGCTAGGCAGAGGTAAAGAGACAATGCCTGTCCAAGGGAACATGCAATCTGCTCTGTGGTGCTCCCCATGTGGCTGGTAGTAGCAAAGTGAACTCAGCAGGAGATGCAGGTGGTCATTGGATCTATGGCAAGCTCCACATCAAGTTCTGATGTCTTTTCATAGCTTCTGCTAGCAGCGTGGGAGCATGTGGGTATATGGGGAAAGGAATGTAATTGACTGGCAAAAGCTCAGATTTTGCAGGTGTCTCTTACTCAGGGCTCATTAGATAGCCTAGCACCCATAAAAGTTGTGAAATATGTTCAAGACAAAGAATTGCGAGAAAGGAAAAAACAACCGGTTAAAGATTGCTCTCCTTCTGCTTTGTATTTAATGTTTTAACTTTTCCTCAAACACAGAGATTTTAGTTAGGACACTGGTGGACTCTATCAGCAGATCAAAATGGAAAAGACATCCTTGACTTCACAGTTCCCTAACCATGTCAAGGAAGGACATGCAATACTTTGGCTGCTATGTGTCCTGGTAACTGTAGAGTAAAGAAATAATCCAAGGCTGCTATTCTTCTTGTACATCTGAAAATGTCCACCATCTATAGGTTGTTCTATCCTTTATTAATTAATCTCCAGGAATGGTCAATTATTTCTTACTGTAGGTCTTGGTCTTAGAAGTATGATATGGCTGTAGTGCTTTCTATCTTCAAAGAAAAATGCAAGCAGTTGCACAGCAAACCCCTGAAGGAAAATAAGAGGTAGGTATATTGCCTGAACATAGACAGTCAGTGATAAAGCAAGATGTTTGCCATTGTAGAGAATGTTCTGACAAAAGTAGGCAAGGTCTGTAGAAAAGATCTCTGCTTGGGTAGAAAAAACTTCTTTAAGACTGCCCATCCATCTATTACTTTCTCCTCAGCATGTATTAAAAAAGCATTTAGCTACTTCATGAGTGACACCAAAATTTATGACAAGAACTTCTGTCTTAAAAAGTCCTGATATCCTGTTGTTCATATATTATTTTACTGTTGCATCTTGTTTAATTATACTAGATGACTGGTTGAAGTATCAAAACTCTGAGTTTTATTCATTTAAAAGCAATGTGAATTGGAGGAAAAACATGTAAAGGGACTGTAAAATGCATAAAGCTTAATTTTGTAGAAAAAAAATAGCATTATAAGAACAGCAATATGTCCTTCATATTTGAAAAATCATGGCAGTCAGGTGAAGTTTCCAATGACTGGAAAAAGGGAAATATAACCCCCATTTTCAAGAAGGGGAAAATGGATGACCCAGGGAATTACAGACCAGTCAGTGTCACCTCTGTGCCTGGCAAAATCTTGGAGCAGATTCTCCTGGAAGGCATGCTAAGGCACATGAAAATCAACAAGGTGCTTGGTGACAGCCAGCATGGCTTCACTAAGGGGAAATCCTGCCTGACCAATTTGGTGGCCTTCTATGATGGGGCTACAGAACTGATGGACAGGGGGTAGAGCAATTGAAGTCATCGACCTGGCCTTGAGTAAAACATTTGACACTGTCCCACACGACATCCTTGCCTCTAAATTGGAGAGACACCAATTTGATGGATGGACCACTCGGTGGATAAAGAACTGGCTGGATGGCAGCACATAAAGAGTTGTGGTCAATGGCTCAGTGTCCGGCTGGAGACCAGTAATGAGTGGTGTCCCTCAGGGATTGGTGTTGGGACCGGTCTTGTTCAATATCTTCATCGCTGACATGGACAGTGGGATTGAGTGCACCCTCAGCAAGTTTGCCGATGACACCAAGCTGTGTGGTTCGGTTGATACACTGGAGGGAAGGAATGCCATCCAGAGGGACCTTGACACGCTTGTGAGGTGGGCTGATGCCAACCTCATGAAGTTTAACCCTGCCAAGTGCAAGGTCCTACACCTGGGTCAGAGCAATCCCAGGCACAGCTACAGGTTGGGCAGAGAAGAGATTCAGAGCAGCCCTGCGGAGAAGGACTTGGGGGTGTTGGCTGATGAGAAAATGAACATGAGCCGGCTTCAGTGTGTGCTCGCAGCCCAGAAAGCCAACCGTATCCTGGGCTGCATCAAAAGGAGCGTGACCAGCAGGTCGAAGGAGGTGATCCTGCCCCTCTACTCTGCTCTCGTGAGACCTCACTTGGAGTATTGTGTGCAGTTCTGGTATCCTCAACATAAAAAGGACGTGGAACTGTTGGAACAAGTCCAGAGAAGGGCCACGAGGATGATCAGAGGACTGGAGCACCTCCCGTATGGAGACAGGCTGAGGAAGTTGGGGCTGTTCAGCCTGGAGAAGAGAAGGCTGCGTGGAGACCTCATAGCAGCCTTCCAGCATCTGAAGGGGGCCTATAGGGATACTGGGGAGGGACTCTTCACTAGGGACTGTAGTGACAGGACAAGGGGTAACGGGTTAAAACTTAAACAGGGGAGGTTTATATTGGGTATAAGGAGAAAGTTCTTTGCTGTGAGGATGGTGAGGCACTGGAATGGGTTGCCCAAGGAAGTTGTGAATGCTCCATCCCTAGTGGTGTTCAAGGCCAGGTTGGACAGAGCCTTGCGTGATATGGTTTAGTGTGAGGTGTCCCTGCCCATTGCAGGGGGGTTGGAACTAGATGATCTTAAGGTCTTTTCCAACCCTAACTATTCTATGGTTCTATCTACAACTGCTGCTTCTCAATGGATCAGCAATGAAATAAGCATTCTGATCTGAGTAGCTAGAAATTACTCAGGTGTCCTCATTATCTATTCTTTCTTGTTAGCTCTGATACTTGAAATAGTATGAGAGTGGAAGGTATTCCTGCCCATTGTAGGCGGGTTGGAACTAGATGATCTTTGAGGTCCCTTCCAACCCAAACCATTCTATGATTCTGTGCCATGTTACTGTTTTTTATATAATAGTTTAGGATTCTGCATGTACAATACAAAATCTACGTGCCATTTTTAGTTTCTGTGATGGTCTAACCAGGTAGGTAGTCTGCTAAAGTAAAAGGTTAGCACAGGCTGATCATACAGTTACCACAAGTAGCTTCCATTTAAGCATGAGAAGCTGTGGCAATTTCAACACTCTCTGGAAGCTATTAAGTAGAAGAGATGACTGTAGTTGGAAGAAACTAAAACTCCAAAGAGTCACAGAGAGTGGTGATAGTACAATGGTACTGACATTTTAAACGTGAATTTGTATGGAAGTTTTAAATAACCCAGAAGAATTATTTCAGTCAGTGACAAATATGGTTTTTCATATATATATCAATAATGGAAGTGGCATTGCCTTTCTAAAAGCAAGATACTGAAATTATGTTGCTGACAGATTTATTTTTTCTTAATGTGCAAGAATTTTTCATTTTAACTTTCTGTCAAAACTTACGTATTTATTAATAAGTTAATGTCTTACTTGCCAAGAGTCTTGCTATATTTCTGTTGTTCAAAAGGTTATAGTGCCAGCTTTATTCACTGCATCACAGGATACTTGTGGTGAGAAAGCATCGCTGGATACTGCCTTGTCCAATCCCCCTGCTTGCAGCAGGGCCACCTGCAGCAGCTCAGGGCTGTGTCTGGTTGGGTTTTAACTGTCTCCAAGGATGGAGACTCCACAACAATTTGGGCAACTTGTTCCAGTACTTAAACGCCCTTAGGATAATAAAAAAAATTTTCTTACATTTCAGTGGTATTTTCTGTATTTCAGTGTGTCCATTTCATCCTGTATTTCAATTTGTGTCCAATACTTTTTCTCAGAGCAGTGCTTACAAATAGTTAAAATAAGGTTAGTTATTGTGATATCATAATGACAAATTTTGCTTACTGGACAAGAAAAGGAAGGTAAGTTAATCGTTGATGAAAGGACAAAGGTTTTGATTTATGGTATTTACTGTCTTACATACCAAGTTGGTTTGAAATTCTGTCCATGCAACTTCTGACTGGAGAACAACATGGGCTGGTTTTTTGTTCCTGTGCTCCTAACTTGGCTTCTTCTTCAGGTGGTCTGGAGTCAGGTAAGAAAACAAAGAATATATATTCTCTATATCATAGAGAAAGCAATGCAGCTTAAGTTGAGTTTGAGAGGAAAAGACTAAGGTATGTTGCTTTTGCAAAGTAAGAATTCTGTTGTCATTCGCGTGGAAGATAAAGATTTCTGCTTCCTTGGGGTCATAGTGCTGCTATTTTGAATAGGGTGTACATGGGAAGAGCTTATCTTGCATTCCCCATTTAGGCAAAATATTCACTAATATTCAAAGCACCACTACCAGAATAATAAGTCTGGGGTTAGAAGCAAGATAAATATTCAAATTTATTTTGCTTCTCCATATTTGAATGGAAATAGGATTTTCTTATTTTTTGCTATAATGCAATGTATTTGATAATGAAATTGGTGCCTTTTTAGCCACTGGATATACTTGGATATGACTGTTCTCTGTTCTTCCAATCTGGCTGAACTATTAAATGCCAAAAAGTAACAGCTGAGATTTTGTATTTCCTGTCTTTTGTAGTGAAATACAGCATTTTTCTCGTCTTGTGATAATTTGTTGTAGAGACCAGGAATTTTGGTAGTACACAATACAGCACACACTCATATGTCTCCCTAAGTCAAGAGCTCAATCTCATGTCCCCAGCTTTGCCATAGTCCTCCTGTATCTCTCACAACCCTAACACCACACTTCCCTTGTAATACCATTGCCCATCATGACTACCTGTTTGTCTGTTCCCAACTTTCTGGAAACTCAAGTCTTAGCTTTGTTTAGATTCCTCTACAGGCTTTGGTACAACCTATAGTAGGTGGTGCGGGGTGCTGCTACCATCTACAAGCTATTACACATCAAACTGACTCCTAATAACCAGCTCCTGTGTGAGAAAGTGGCTTCTGATCACTAGGACCAATTATATCATTTCCATGTGCCTTATGGCCAGGAAGAGCTTCTTTCTGGATGCCAGTACTTGAAGTTCTATAGTCTGGAAAAAAACTGATAAATTAGTGTCTCATCCAAACTGGTTGACAATACTCCATCTGAAGTTGATGGTGAGACAGGGAAATTTTCATCAGAGATTTATCACACCCTTGAATCGATGTCCAAGCTAGATGAGATGGATCATCTTTTGGAGCTGCCAGGGCATTGTGGTGGTGCCATAGGTATTTTAGGGGCAGATCTCAAATTTGAGATCCTCAGGACAGTGAGAAGAGCATGCAGCAAGCTCGCTGCCCTGGACTTCAAGAGAGCAGACTTTGGCCTCTTCAGGAACCTGCTTAGGAAGGTTCCATGGGATACAGCCCTAGAGGGCAGGGGGGCCCAAGACTCTTGGTTGATATTCAAGGATCACCTGCTACAAGCTCAGGAGTGTTGCATCCCAACCAGAAGGAAGTGCAGCAGGAGGGCCAGGAGACCTCCTTGGATGGATAAGGAGCTCCTGAGGAAAATTCAAATGAAAAAAGAGGCTTATAATAAGTGGAAGCAAGGACAGGTGGCATGGGAAGAGTACAAGGATATCGTCTGGGAAGCTAGGGACCAGGTTAGGAAAGCTAAGGTTCAGTTAGAATTAAACTTAGCTAGAGGTATTAAAGATAACAGGAAGGGATTCTACAAGTACATAGCAAATAAAAAACAGACTAGGGAGAATGCAGGCCCCCTCAGGAAGCTCTCGGGAGAACTGGCTACACAGGATTTGGAGAAGGCTGAGGTTCTGAATGACTTCTTTGCCTCGGTCTTCACTGGCAAAGGCTCTTGACCAAAGCACCCAAGTCTTGGAAGGCAGATGCAGGGACTGTGAGAATGAAGACCTTGCGCCCGCTGTAGGAGAGGAACTGGTTCGAGAGCATCTTAAAAATCTGAATGTGCAGAAGTCCATGGGTCCTGATGAGATCCATCCGTGGGTCCTGAAGGAGCTGGCAAATGAAGTTGCGAAACCACTGTCCATCATATTTAAAAAATCATGGCAGTCAGGCAGGCAGTCCAATGGCTGGAAAAAGGGAAGTATAACCCCCATTTTCAAGAAGGGGAAAATGGGTGACCCAGGGAATTACAGACCAGTCGGTCTCACCTCTGTGCCTGGCAAAATCTTGGAGCAGATTCCCCTGGAAGGCATGCTAAGGCACATGAAAATCAACAAGGTGCTTGGTGACAG